AAAAAAAAAAAAAAAAAAAAAAAAAGCCTAATTGTGCAAAATCAATACTGTAAAGAAAAAGATACAATATTCTGGCAAACAACTAGATAACTAATGCTAGTTAATAAAAAACTTCAGAGAAAGAAAGAAAGGAAGGAAGAATGAGGAAGATGGAAGACAAAACTGCCTTAATATCTGAGACTCTTCTAAGACAGTCATTATAACATTTTAGGTTTTTGCTTAACTGAAAAAGAAAGAAAGAAAGAAAAAAACAAATTAAGCATGAGAGTCTAAATTTGCAAATACTGTTGAAAATCCGATTATTCTGGATGCCTGTAGAAAGAAATTAATAGTGTGTGTACACAAACTGACATATAGATTACTCTGAGATTTCTGACGTATGTGAGAAATGTGTGAAGTTTTGCTTCTTCCTTTCCAACTGCTGTATATTTTCATATTTTTCCCTATTTCATTACGTTGCTTGAAACGTCCAGAATGCTGAATAGTAGCAATAAGTCACATCTACAAATACTGAACGTTTTCAAGTGGCAGGCACAGTTGGAAGCACTAGGGATGCATTAATGACCAGACAAAAATCCCTGCTGAAGAGTTGTATAACTGTGAAGATTTTTTTCCTCTCAATTTTTACTGTGGACAATACTTCAGGAGTTTGATATTGCCTAATATAGTTATATCATTAATGAAGTCTAAGAACTAATATAACAAGCAGGCTACACTGCTATAGACATTTTCTCCCCCATTCTATTTAATTTATGATATTGTCTTGATTAGAGAATTATCCTAATGAAAAGGATTTTAGTATTCATTATTTTAATAAATTGGAGCAACCCAAGTATAACATCACATTTTTCACTTTAAAATGTACTTTTCATATGTAAGCTATTATTTTTAAAAGGTGACTTTTAAAAAACAAAACACCAGAACCTGTACTCTGTGTAGTCACTGCGGGTTATTACATTCTAATGATGCTACCAATACTCAAACCATATTTTGGACTATTCTTTTATAACTTAAAATTTGGGCCCCACATGTTAGCTCCTCCTCATGGCTTTGCTTTTTTACCCCAATGTTCATTATTTGCCAGTGAAATGATTTCTCCCCAAACTATTACAAACTTCCATACCCTTAGGCACTCTGCTAAATTTTCTCAAGAATTTTTGGGTATTCAGTTACATGACAATTGGGTAGCACGTGTATCTTGCCCCTCTGACTAAGTCAGTTATGCCCTTTAGGACCCATCCACTTTTCCGAACACTGTAGAGCATCAGTAGTGACACACAGTAAGCAAAATCATGAATTATTTTTATCTTGTAACAGCGCATCAAGAGGAGGCTAAGTGCTGGGTAGAAAATCCAATCACAGAAGCCTCATCTGCTAAGCTGCACGCAGGGCTTCAGAGAACTCAAAACAGTACCAGAACAAGCTAATGGACAAAATGTATTCCTTTCAGGACCTAACATACTAGTGAAGTGACAGCAAGGAAGAATATTTTATATCAATTATCACACATACAACTTATAACTTACTTTCTTTGAGAGCTCTACTCAATTGTTCCATCTTTTCTTTGGCTGTTTTAAGAAGGCGTTGTTCTAACTAAAAGAATAGAAATAAATAATTTAAACCATTCTCTTTATTTATTCACAACAGTAGAGGTCAGCTCATTTGAAATGATTTGGGACATACCTGATAACTATGCTCATGATTTTTAAATCTTGTATAATAGTGCATAAATCTGTCAAGTTCCTGAAATCGTTTGTGTTTTTTCTCAGCCTAGAAAACAAAAGTCCACAAATGACTTACAAAAACTAGTAGCTACTAAAACAGTTTCTTTGGGGGGATCATTTAAAAGTTTTATTAGTGACAGATAGTACTGCATTCAGATTTGTGAATTATTTTCTTGACAGAAAACAACACATCTTAAAAGCTCTCAGAACAAAGTCTTCCATTTGTATCCTGTGACAAATCCCTGAATCCAAAATCCCAGAGTCTAAGGCAAAGAAACCTCCCAATCTCCATTTTTTTTTTTTTTTCTTTTTCTGAAACAGAGTCTTCTTCTGTTGTCCAGGCTGGAGTGCAGTGGTGCAATCTCAGTTCATGGCAACCTCCGCCGCCTGGGTTCAAGCTATTCTCTTGTCTCAGCCTCCTGAGTAGCTGGGATTACAGGAGCCCACCACCATGACTGGCTAATTTTTGTATTTTTAGTAGAGATGGGGTTTCACCATGTTGGCTAGGCTGGTCTTGAACTCCTGACCTCAAGTGATCCACCTGCCTTGGCCTCCCAAAATTCTGGGATTACAAGCATGAGCCACCGTGCCTGGCCTTCAATGTTTTATTATGTGGCTTTTTGCTATGGACTAATGGTATCCCCCTAAAATTTGTATTTTGAAGCCCTATCCCCATTGTGACAGTATTTGAAGATAGGACCTGTGAGAAAGGTTAAATAAGGTCATCAGGGTGGGGCACTATTCTAATAGGGCTGGTACCCTTATAAGAAGTGGAAGGGACACCAGAGGTGTCTCTGTCTTTTCCAGCCACCAGAGGACATAGTGAGAGGGTGGCTGTCTGCCTGCCAAGAAGAGTGCCCTCCTCAAGAATCAAATTGGCCAGCACCTTGACCTTGGACTTCACAACCTCCAGAACTCTGAGAAATAAATTTCTGTTGTTTAAGCCACCCAGTCTGTGTTATTTTCTATGGGAAATGAGCAGACTAAGATACTTACTATACAGTATAATGTAATATTGCATTGTTGATATTAATATTAAAATGTTTTTAAGTCTTTGCAGAGGTAGGCTGGGATGTATCAGACTTTTCATATATATCTTCACCAAAATAAAAAATGGAAAATGTAAAAGGGACAAAACTCTCAAGTTTACAGAGCTATTTTGTTGAAATTAAAGGCTATCATAAAGTGCATTCAATTCAATACCTTATTAAGATGAAAACAGAAAAAGAAGAAATGCAAAATAATTTCAGTGGCAGTGAGCGGCTTAGAGAGAGGTCTTGGCTTAATTGATTCTCTTTACCTCCACAGTCATTTCCTTGGATTGCTCCTCCACATGCTGAATGACTTCATAGCGAGTACATCTGTAATAACCTCCAGTGGAAGAACTATGTTTTTTCCACTCTTCTAGGCAAATCCAGCAAAAGTCATACTTGCACTTCAAAAGAAAATATATATGAAAACATCTCCCCATATTAATATGCAAATTACTTTCTGCTTTATAGCCAACCAATCTGTAAAGATTAAATAATCCTGAGTGTGTGACCAGGAATGAATCTTCTTAAAGACACGTCCTCTTTCTCACGTTTCCTCTAGAGACCTTTCTGCATTATGGAAAGATGTGGGGGTAGTTTAAAATTATTGCTTACAGGGATGTATTAAAATGTAAAGCATAACATAATGAGGTAATCACAAGGAATCATTAAAAATATCAATAGGATATTCTTTACAAATAATAACAGATATTGACAAGTGTTTCATTTTTAAGTATGTTCTAATCTGACATTGGTCTACAAAGCTCCACCAGCCTATTTGAAAAACTTCTGGCAATTTTGAAAAATTGGTTTCGAAACTAGAAATAAGCTGAAAAGACCTCTAAGTGAAACAGCTGATATAAAAATGGTTTCCCATTTTAAAGTAAATTTCACTTACTTGATTACCAAAATTATCAGACAGTGCCAAAAATATGAGCATTCAGTATGAAAATATATCCTTTTTTATGCTTATGGATTTTGAATCAGTTAAAAAGATCTTCCCATTCTATGTTGTCTTCAGGTACTCTTATGGTTTATTTTATTTTTTAAAGTAACTTTATCTTTGAGTCATTTGTAATTTATCTTACTATATAGGATACAGTATGAATTCAACTTTATTCTTTCTCACACAGCTGCCCAGTAGTCCTTATATCATTTAAATAGCTCATGTTTCTCCACTGGTTGTAGACGCCACCTTTACCACATACTGGATTCTCATGTGTCTGTGTCTACATTCTAGGCTTTCTTCCTATTCTGTTTCATGTGCCAGCACCACACTGTCTGAATTTCTGAGGCTTCATAATATGGCTATTTTACAAGGCTAGTTCCCCCTAACTGCTCTTTTTCAGACTTCCTGTTCTTGCTTCCCCTTGGCCCTGCCAAATAACTTTTGAATTAGTTTACTTAGATTCAGAAACAAAACCTATTGCTATTTTTGATGGAATCTTTCTAAGAACTTGGTCGTCTTTCCATTTGTTTGTAATCTTTTGTGACCTACAGAGAGACAGTTTATATTTTTTCCCCACAAGTCTTGCATATTTATTAAATTTATTTCCAGATAAATGAAGTCTTTCAGTAAATATTCAATCTGATCGTTGTTGATACACATGGTTATTACTTTCTGCACAATAATTGTGTACTCTGCTATTCAACTAAATTTTTGTTTGTAGCAGTTTTTCAGCTGATTTTTGTAAATTTTCTAGGTATACAATCATGCCATCTGCAAAAAGTGATAATTTTATCATCTCATTTCTAATTTTTATACTGTTAGTCTCTTTCTGCTGTCTAATTATGTTGACTGGTATCTTCAGTCTAATGTTAATAATATTAGTGATGGAAAATATCTTCATCTTATTTTTGAATTTAGTGGGAGTGACTCTAGTTTCCCCCACTAAATATGCTAGCTTTTGAACTGAGGTAATTATTTTTATCATACTAAGAAAGAATTTATTCTATTTCTTTGAGTGTTTTATACAGAATGGTTTGTTTGTTTGTTTTTGGTCAAATACCTTTTCAGGAGCTATAGAAAATATGTAATTTTTCCCCTTGGACCTATCAATAACATGAGGTACAACATCAGCTTTCCTAATATTGAACTATTCTTATACAGGTTGAAGCATCCCTAATCTAAAAATCAGAAATCCTAACTGCTCCAAAATCCAAAACTTCTTGAGCACTGACATGGATTGTAAATTTGTGGATTAGGAGTGCTCAATTGGTCAAATGTAAATATTTCAAAATGAAAAAAAAATTCTGTAATCGTTAATTCTTCCAGTTCCAAGCATTCCAGGTGAGCAACACTTAACCTGTCTTCCTGGAATAAACTCTTACTTGGTTAATTACTTATGAATGTGCTCTGCTGGATTATTGCTAATATCTATAGTTTTATCCCTGTAATATTTAGGACTTCTGCAGTGCTATTTTTAAGTAAGAATAATCCACAGTTTTCATAATCTTGTCAAGCAGGTATCAAGGTTCTACTCACTTTATAAAAATAATCTGAAAGTTTTTTTTTTTTTTTTTTAACTCTCAAGAATAGTTTAAATAACATTAGAATTACCAGCTCCTTAAAGGTTTGGTAAAATTCTATCGTAAAACTATCAGGGTCCATTGCTTTAAGTGTTAGTGTAAGGTGCGGGGGAGTTTTGAAAAACTTTTTTTCCCTTCTATGGGAATGGGTTTTTTGGGACTATTCTATCTCTTCTAGGATCAGTTTTAATAAATAATACTGTCTTAGAAAGTCAATCTACTTCAAATCCAAGTTCAAAATATCTAGAAGAATTGAATGAATTTATTCCTTATTTTAGTTTGCTTTGTTTCTTTGAGTACAGGCATACCTTGTTTCATTGCACTTTGCTGTATTATGCATCACAGATGCTGTGTTTTGTTTTTGTTTTTTAAACAAACTGAACTTTGTGACAACCCTGATCAAGCAAGTCTACTGGTCATTTTTCCAACAGCATGTGCTCACTGCTTGTCTGTGTCACGGTTTGGTAATTCTCATAATGTGTCAAACTCGTAAATTATTATATTTGTTTTGGTAATCTATGATCAATGATCTTTGATGTTCCTATTTTAATATTTGGGGGGGCACCATAAACCATGCCCATATAAGATGGCAAACCTAATAGATAAATGTTGTATGTGTTCTGACCACTTCACTGACTGGCCATTCTCTTACCTCTGTCTCTCTCACTCTCCTTGGGCTTCCCTAATCCCTAAGACACAACAATATTAAAATTAGGCCAATTAAGAATCCTATAAGGGCCTCTAAGTGTTCAAGTGAAAGGAAGAGTCTTAAATCTCTCACTTTAAATCAAATGCTAGAAATGATTAAGCTTAGTGAGGAAGGCATGTTGAAAAGCCAAGATAAACTGAAAGTTAGGCCTCTTGTGCCAGTTAGCCAAATTGTGAATGTAAAGCAAAAGTTCTTGAAGGAAAGTAAAAGTGCTATTCCAGTGAACATATGAATGATAAGCAAACGAAACAGGCTTATTGTTATGTTGAAAATCTGAGTGGTCTGGATGGAAGATAAAATGAGCCACGACATTCCCTTAAGCCAAATGCTAATCCAGAGCAAGGTCCTAGCTCTTTTCAGTTCTATGAAGACAGAGAGACATAAGGAACCTGCAGAAGAAAAATTTTAAGCTAGCAGACATTGGTTCATGAGGTTTAAGGAAAGAAGCCATTTCCATAACATAAAAGTGCAAGGTGAAGCAGAAAGTGCTGATATAGAAGCTCTGATAAATTATCCATAAGATCTAGCTAAGATCATTGATGAAAGTGGCTACCTTAAATAACAGATTTCCAAAGTAGATGAAACAACCTTCTATTGGGAGACAGTGCCATCTAGGATTTTTATAGCTAGAGAGAAGTCAATGTCTGGCTCCAAAGCTTCAAAGAACAGGCTGACTCTTTTGTTATGGGCTAATACAGCTGGTGACTTTAAGTTGAAGCCAATGCTTATTTGCATTTACCATTCTCAAAATTGCAGGGCCCTCAATAATTATGCTAAATCTACTTTGCCTGTGCTGTCTAAATGGAATAACAAGGCCTGGATGGCAGCACATCTGTTTACAGCATGGTTTACTGAATATTGTAAGCCCACTGTTGAGAGCTATTACTTAGAAAAAAAGATTTCTTTTAAAATATTACTGCTCATTGACAATGCACATGGTCATCCAAGAGCTCTGATAGAGATGTACAAGGAAATGAATGTTGTTTTAATGTCTGCTAACACAACATCCATTCTGCAGCCTATGGATTAAGCAGTAATTTTGAATTTCAAGTCTTATTATTTAAGAAACATATTTTTTAAGGCTAAAACTGCCACAGATGGTGATTCCTCTGATAGATGTAGGCAGAGAAAATGGAAACGTTTCTGGAAAGGATTCACCATTCTAGATGCCATTAACAACATTTGTGATTCATGGGAGGGGGTAAAAATATCAACATGAACAGGAGTTTGGAAAAGGTTGATTCCCACCCTCATGGATGACTTTGAGGAATTCAAAACTTCGGAGGAAAAAATAACCGCAGATGTGGTAGAAACAGCAAAAGAACTTCAACTGCAGCCTGAAGATGTGCCTGAATTACTACAATCTCATAATAAAACTTGAATTGGGGAAAAGTTGTTTCTTACGGATAAGCAAAGAAAATGGTTTCTTGAGATAGAATCTACTCCTGGTAAAGACTTTGTAAACACTGTTGAAATGACAACAAAGAGTAGAATATTACATAAACAGCTGATGAAGCAGTGGCAGAGTTTGAGAGAACAGACTCTAATTTTGAAAGTTCTGTTGGAGGTCAAATTCTGTAATACGGTATCACATGCTATACAGAAATATATTGTGAAAGGCAGTCAACCGATGCAGCAAACTTCATTGTCTTATTTTAAGAAATTGCCACAGCCAACTCAAACTTCAGCAACCACCACTTTGTTCAGTTAGCAGCATCAACACTGAGGCAAGACTCTTCACCAGCAAAAAGATTACGACTCACTGAAGGCTCAGATAATAGTTAGCATTTTTAAGTAATAAAGTATTTTAAAATAAAAATACGTTATGCTATTGCACACTTAACAGACAGTGTGAGTTTACAGTTAAACTTTTGTATGACGTGGGAAATAAAAAAATGTGATTTATTTGACTGTGATATTTGCTTTATTGCAGTGATCTAGAATTGGACCACAGTATCTCTGAGTTATGCCTGTGTTTCCCTTATTCTTTATCTCGTGTCTTTGAACTCCTTCACCTTTATTTTTTTTTCTTGATTATGTTAGGTTAGTGGTTTATCTATTTTTTGTTAAGAAAATCACTTTTTGGATTTATTAGTTGCATTTTCAGTTATAAAGTCGCTGATTTCTGCCTTAAAACAAACAAACAAACAAACAAAAAAAACAGAAACTTCCTCCTGGTTTTCTTCAAGTTTATTTTTTTTCGAAATTTTTGAGTAGGCCGGGAACAATGGCTCACACCTATAATCCCAACATTTTGAGAGGCTGAGGCAAGGAGATCACAAGGCCAGGAGTTCAAGACCAGACTGGCCAACATGGTGAAACCCCGTCTCTGCTGAAAAACACAAAAATACAAAAAAAAAATTAGCTGGGCATGGTGGCTAGTGCCTGTAATCCCAGCACTTGGGAGGCTGAGGTAAGAGAATTGCTTGAACTGGGACCAGGTGGTGGAGGTTGCAGTGAGCTGAGATCCGAGCCACTGAACTCTAGCCTGGGCTACAAAGCGAGACTCCATCTCAAAAAAAAAAAAAAAAAAAAAAAAAAAAAAAAAAAAAAAGAGTCATACTCTTTAACTCATTCCTTATTCTGTATTAGTTTAAGTAAATAAGGTGATGTATATTTCTCAGCATTGCTTTAGCGATGGCCCTCAGGTTCTGATAAGTAGTATTTTCATTACCCTTGTTTTAAAAATTCTTGAATGTCCATTTTTATTTCCTTTCTTACTGAGGAGTTGATATTTACAATTTCCAAAAGACACCTTGTAATTTTACTATTTTTTTTTTGATACACAGTTTCACTCTTATTGCTCAGGCTAGAGTGCAATGGCACAATCTCCACTCACTTGTTTGTTATGGATAAGCAAAGAAAGCAGTTTCTTGAGATAGACTCTGCTCCTGGTGAAGACTCTGTAAACATTGTTGAAATGACAACAAAGACTAGAATATTACATAAACAGTTGATAAAGCAGTGGCAGGGTCTGAGAGAACTGATTCTAATTTTGAAAGTTCTATAGCCTCCAAGGTTCAAGTGATTCTCCTGCCTCAGCCTCCCCAGTAGCTGGGATTACAGGCACCTGCCACCATGCCCAGCTAATTTTTGTACTTTTAGTAGAGATGGGGTTTTACCACGTTGGCCAGGCTAGTCTCAAACTCCTGACCTTAGGTGGTCCACCTGCTTCAGCCTCCCAAAGTGCTGGGATTACAGGTGTGAGCCACCATGCCTGGCCTTAATTTCTATTTTATTCCCTTATGATCAGAGAATGTTATTTGTACTATTTTCTGGAATGTTAAGGTTTTTATTTTTATTTTTAATTTTTATTTTTTGCCATATTCTACCATGCTGTCAAGTTCAAAGGCTTTTCTTTTATAATCAATGGTTAATTTTTAGTTTTAGTATAGAGTTTGATTACAGCGATCAGATATACCTTAGTAATTACGGTATTTAACTATTCTATGGTTTATAATGGAAAAAAACTTTTTTTTAGTTGTAGCATACAGTTACACAGAATCAGATACGATAAGTGATTTAAAATATTTAAGAATGCAATAATTTAAATTATCTAAAGGGAAATTTTAAAAAGCGTTTTAAAAATAAGCTTATATTTAGGGAATGAAATTTCTCATTCTTTAAAAACACACTTGATTTCTAAAGTAAAAACTGCCTACCAAATCATACATAATCAATGCTGAGGCATTAATAAAAGTATGTTATGATTTAACAATTATGTCAGAGGATGGATTCCATTACACATGACATGCTGTGTGTAACCTACACACTTTTAGTACACATGATTTTGCTGCAGTAACATATTTTCTACATAAGTCTTCTGTGTCATAATAAGGATACTATTTTTCAGGTTTTATTGTTCAATGCAAACATTTCAGATGGTATAATAAATACAACAACTACATTTACAGAGTACGTAAGTAAATATTTCTTTTCAATGCAACAGAAGCTTAAGCAAAGTCTATTTAGGTTGGATTACCTAACATTATCAGCCTGATTAATTCATGAAAACATTCAGGAATGCATATGTATTTATCAAATATTTACTACCAGTAGGTGCTATGCAGGAAATAAAGGTAATATTGGAGTCTGTCTCAGCAGCCAATTACAAATTTTCATGGTCATTCTATAGTTCTTTATACATCTCTGTAGTCTGTATCAGATTTCCCAAGGGGAATAAAAAAGATACGGACATTGGAGATAAGATCACAAAGAGATAAAATAATTTTAGCTGGATCCTTAGCTGAATAAACAGCACATCTGAATACTTTGCTCATAACACTGCCCTAGGTTTTTCTTCATTCATTTTTGTTAATTTTACAGTAACATAGACTTATAAAAATTATTTTGTAACTGCCATTCTTTTGCAAGTATAGTAATAATCATTAAGTTTCAAGGTTAAAAATCAATTAATACCTAGAAGATATTATTATATTTTACTGGAATCTTAACCATTTATGTTTCCTTCATGTCCTAAATTAGAAAAAAATTACATTTTCCTCTCAATAACTTTAAATAATCATTTTATACATACATGACATTTCCAATGATAAAGCAAAAAAACCCCCCAGAATATCAATGTAATTTTAAATCAAAAAATGTTCATAAATGTAGGTAGGTATGGATTAATAAAATGTTACTAATAACACACCATCATATTGGTTTTAAACACACTGCTGTTTCTTCCTGTGCAACTAAGAGGGTATTTATTCCATCTAGCATTTGGACCTCTAACATTAATCATTTATATTAAGTATTTTTCAGTCAAGTGAATCTTTGTTGGCATTTTCATTTTCAGTATAATAAAGAGTTACTTGTTTAATTGGTGGTTTTATTAGCAGACCTAAAGTCTGGACCCTGCTTTGAGTTCTTGTATTATACAGACATCTACATATAGGTGTTCCCTAGTATCCACAAAGAATTGGTTCCAAGACCTGCAAACACCAAAATCTGAGAATAATCAAGTACCCAATATAAAATGGTGTACTATTTGCATACTAACCTATGCACATCCTCCAGTATACTTTAAATAATCTCTAGATTACTTATATTATCTTACAACATATATGCTATATAAATAGTTGTTATACTGCATTGTTTAGGGAATAATGACAAGAAAAAAAATCTGTACATGTTCAATACAGATGCATTTTTTTCCCCTAAGTATTTTTGATCCATGAATGCAAACCCAACAACATGAAACCCATTGATACAGAGAGCCAACTGTATGGAGACAGTATATGGACTGGATTTGGGCCTCGTTGGGGCCTTGAGTCTAAGCCGTATAGCTTTGCAAGAGATCTATATAAGGCAGCACTTTGTTAATCATTTGATATATATACACATACACACACACACACACACACACAACTCTCTCAAGACTCTCACTGGGGAAGGTGACTAGCAAGGGAGGATTCATGAATTTCTAATCTTCTGGTTGAATACTATAGATTCCTTATGCTTACCTTTATATTGTTTTTGTTTTTGTAGAGATGGGGTTTTGGTATTTTGCCCAGGCTGGTCTTGAACCCCTGGCCTCAAGCGATCCTCCTGCCTCAACCTCCTGAAGTGCTGGGATTATAGGCAAGAGCCATTGCACCACACCCCCTCAAATAATTTATCCTTTGGATTGACAATCAAACTAAATTAAGATTCCAAATGCAAAGCATGCAAAATCCTCTTTGATGTCATACCTTAGCACACTGCATGTGATTGCAGCCTTCATTCTTCTGTATTGGAGACTTACAGTTGGCACAAGGCTTGGAGTTAGTTAATAACCAGAGACAATTGGCGGCATCCTCGTAGGCTTCACTAACTCCCACAACTTTGGGATATTAAGCACAAACACAAAAATAAATGATTTAGTGTACGACTTCTGGGGGAAAACAACCCTCCACACTTTTCTTTGCAGGCTGTTTCTCAATTTTAACAAAATATTTATTTTCTGATCAAGGTCTGTGGCAACATTTTTAAACTGCTTCATTTTGAATAGCCTAATTATAAGATAAGAAACTCTATTCCAAAAGAAATATTCATGAAACCTGGTTTAAGGGAGATTTCTCCATAAACTTGTGCCCAAATAAACTGTGACAGAAAACAACATATACAAAAAAGGTTAAAAAAAAAAAAAAAAAAAAAAAAAAAAAAAAAAATATTAAAAAAAAAAAAGATAAAAAAAAAAAAAAAAAGACAAAAGTAACATTGCTACTCCATTTAAAATAACTATTGCATCAAAGAAAATTACAGAAAGAACAGTTACTTTAGACAATAATTTATTTAACAGGCCAGACGCAAATATAATTATCAGAAACTCTGCCATAGTGAAAAGCAAAAAATATCAACATATTTTTTTTATCCATGATTATTTTGGATAATCTTAAAATTAATTCAATGTGACATGTCTAAAACTAAGCTTATTATTTCCCCCAAACCTGCTCCTTTCTTTATTCCCCATCCTGGCAAATGACACAATTATCTGGCCAGAGTCAATTTAGGAAGAGTATGATCTTCGACATCCTCCTCGTTCCCTCACTCATAGCATCCTATTTATTCCACCCTCTTTATCATATTTGGTTCCTCTCCTTTCCCAGTTCTTATTGCTTTAAGCTACGGTCCTTCATATCTGTTGTCTAGACAACTAAAGCGCAGAAAACCAACCTATCTCCTCAGTTCCTTCAAGCGTCCACCTTCAACTATACTGCTTGCACAGTGATTTTTTAAAAAATCTCTCTATGTGTTTTTCTTTTATTGACACAAGATACTTCACATACTTATGAAGTAGATATGACTGTTTGCTACATGCATAGAATGTGTAATAATCAAGTCAGGATATCTGAAGTACCCATCAAGCTGAGTAATTATAATTTCTCTGTGTTGGTATCATTTCAAGTCCTCCCTTCTAGTTACTTTGAATATAATATTGTCTTCTATCTAACTCTCTTTGTACCCATTAAGCAACTTTTCTTCATCCTCCCATCCCCTGCCCCTGCCAGCCACCCATCCCACAGTGATCTTTTTAGAATACACACTGCTTGAAATCTTCTAATTTGCTCCCCACTGACTACAAAATAAAATCTAATTGTTTTTGCAAAGAATATAAAGCCCATTATGATATGGCCCTTCTGGCAAGTTCCTCTCACCCTCCATCCCTAATCAAACTTATACTCTTCATTTTCTTAAACTCAACTTACTTTACTATAATTTAAGATCCACAATCTTAAGGAATGTCATAGTTTTCAAAGATTCTAAATTTTACATTTTATAAACTTCCCTCTCCCCTCCATGGACAGAGTTAGGGGCTGGAGAGCACTAGATGCATAATTTAAAATTTTTTCCTGCAAGAATGTCAGCACTCAAGTTGGTTTAGTTTTATTTTCTTTTTTAGCCCTAAGTGCACTGAGAAGCCTTACATTTTCTTTACTCAAAGAGATGCCAGACAATCATTTTAGAATCACTGAAAGTGGCCCATCTAATCAAAGTTTTGTTTAAATGCAGACACTTTCAGAAGGGTGGTGGGGTAAATGGTTGGCTCTACTGTCCAAAGCAGGGGAGAAATCAGACTCTTTGAGTTTCAAAGTTCAAAAAGAAAAATTACCCAACCCCTAGATATAAGCCCCTGGGGAGGGAGGGGAGACAAAGGTTTGGACTCACTGATTCCTGGAAAGTGGCTCTGTGTATGGATTGGAAGGGCTGACCACTAGAAGCAGTCTTCTGATGGAGCCTAGCAGCGCCAGGAATGGTGCTATCTTGCTGCAAAGGAACCCCAAGTGCTTACCTACTTAAGTTTATATTAACAATAGAACAGCAGCTACTGTTGGAATGTAAAAGCACTGGTTTTAAACTCCACATAGCAAGTGAAACAGCAGTAATGAGCTGATCAGACTTTACTCCAGTTGTAAATATACTTGGTAGAAGATGGTCTGACTAAGGTGTTGGTGGGAAAAATTCTCAGATAATTTGGTGGGTGACAGTAGTTCTGGAAGAAACTACTTAGGGCTAATAAGGTCAAGCTGTGGAGGCAATTCCACTTACAAAGGGTATTGCTATAAAACCTAATCATTTAAGTATTCTTCACATTTAAAACATCTAATTTTTGTTAAAATTGTGGCCTTTCTTCTTCCTTCAGCATCAACACTATTGTTAGCTCAGAGGCACTAACATATTCTTATGACCCTTATTGTTCATTGTTATAATAAATAAAGCACAAAGCCATTAAAACAAAGCAGCAGTGTGGCCTGCAACATAACAGTTTTTTCTTCCACCCTTGGAGAGAATGTGATCTCCTAACTGCATTTTAGTGAACTGCATGAAGCAAATAATGTTCAGGGAATAACCAACTACAACTATAATAAAAACTCATGCTGGAAAAAATACCTTTATTTCCAATTCTCTGAACATGCTTATTCCATATATCTGTTCCTTAAATATCCTTTTTTCTTTTTTTTTTTGAGACAGACTCTCACTTTGCCCAGGATGGAGTACAGTAGCATGATCTCAGCTCACTGCAACCTCTGCCTCCTGGGTTCAAATGATTCTTGTGCTTCAGCCTCCCAAGTAGTTGGGACTACAGATGCCTGCCACCACACCTGGCTGACTTTTTTTTTTTTTTTTTAGTAGAGATGGAGTTTCACCATGTTGACCAGGCTGGTCTCAAACTCCTGTCCTGAAGTGATCTGCTTGCATTGGCCTCTCAAAGTGCTGGGATTATAAGAATGAGCCACCGCATCCAGCTTCTACATACTATTCATAACACCAAAAACACCTCATCTCCCTTCAATCTATCTGGTGAGATTTTTTCACCTCTACTGACTTTCAACCTCTTCCCTTCACTTCAGTCGCATCTCTTTTATATCTTGATCTTCTTTCTTAATAATCTAGTATGCTTGAGTCTCTTTGTAAAATGTATTAACTTCATAATAAAGTATTAGAGTATCACAAAATCTAATATCTATTAATAGAATCAACATATATGCATGTGAAAACACAGTTGCTTTTAAAGATTGAATTTTTACTGTTTTTAGAAATAGGAACTCAATTATCCAGATTGGAATTCAGTGGTACAATCACAGCCCACTGTAGCCTTCAACTTTTTGGGTCAACAGATCCTCCTGTCTCAGCTTCCCCAAGTAGCTAAGGCTACAGGCATGTGCCACCATGCCTGGCTAAGTTTTTAATTTTTTTGGAGAGACAGGATCTCACTGTGTTGCCCAGGCTGGTCTTGAACTCTAATCCTCAAGTGATCCTCTTGCCTTGGCCTCCCAAAGTACTGGGATTACAGGTGTGAACCACTGCACCTAGTCAAAGACTGAATTTTTAAATACACAATTTGAATTCTGTTTACTGAGTAGGTTCTATGAAAAATATTGGTCTGAAAAATTTATAAATTAACCATCATTTCATAGAAAATATAACCATTCCTGCTTTTTGCTCTAATTAGACACAATAGAGGCAATCTCAGCACTTGAACACTATTTAAATCTTTATATGAAATTAATTTTAGACCAGGTGCGGTGGCTCATGCCTATAATTCCAGCACTTTGGGAGGCCAAGGTGGGCGGATCACCTGAGGTCCGGAGTTTGAGAACAGCCTGGCCAACATGGAGAAACCCTGTCTCTGCTAAAAATACAAAATTAGCAGGGCGTGGTGGCACATTCCTGTAATCCCAGCTACTCGGGAGGCTGAGGCAGGAGGCGGAGGTTGTGGTGAGCCGAGATCGTGCCATTGCACTCAAACCTGGGCAACAAAAGCAACACTTCGTCTCAAAAAAAAAAAAAAAAAAAAGAAAGAAAAGAAAAATTAATTCTTTGAATTTATTTCAGTATATTTTCTAATACTTCTTTCTCATTAATTAGATTTTCTCACGCTGAGTCTCATAATTCAAAGACTTTGGAAAACTGGGCATAAAGAAGAAAACTATGTCAAGAAACTACAAATTTGGTTAAACATGCTTATGTCTTTTTTTTTTTTTTTTTGCATAAAATGCAAAGTAAAAATGCTATAATCCAAAGTAACACACAAACTTAAAATAGTACCTAATCATACTTTTCCTTTTGAAATATCATTTTTGCATATTTAATGACGGTGTTCTACTTTAGTATTATAGTTGGCCAATTACTGTTTACTTTAATCCTCACCCTAAGTTTCATACATGTAAGTAGCCATTACTAGCCACCGTCTTTCAGTGTGGAAGACACAGTTCAGTAGAGTGAGAAAACTCCTAGGCTTTTCTTAACAACTACTGGGACTTTCTCTGCAGCCTTGGCTTGGCTCCTTCTCTGGTAGAAGAAATCTCAGGTGTCTTCAGTCTTTTGTCTCCTACCATGTTTTCAAACATTCTTCCATCTTTCCAAATCAAAACCCATTTGGGATCTTCAAGGGTAATCTCCAATTTTTAAATTTGTGATCTCCCTATCTCTGGCCATCAGAAGTAACCATGTATACACCATTTTCTAGCTTTTCTATTTCTTTCCTCCTCTTAGTATCAGGATCATTATCATGTCCAAGGACATTTTTTCAGAGTCCCACCCATAATCTGTTCTCACTAGCCAGGCCATTCTCCTTCTCCTTCCCTAGCAAAAACTTATCTGTGGATATGGAATGATTTATCTATTTTTAATATGGTAAGAAATAACTAAAAATAGCCATCAACTTAAAAATACTTGCTTTAAATACTTTTTCCATGTTCTGATACCAGATGTGAAATGGATTTGCTGTGTGGCAGAACATTTTGGTTTCTCTTGGTCTTGGTATCTCCCTCTGTAAAATTGGGGTAATTTGTGAATTAAGGGCAAGTAGGGAGATGAATTACTCTAATTAGACCACAGGCAAAACAGAAGATTATAATAAACCTGAAGAATTGTGGGAAGAAAAAAATAGGTGAACTATATAAACCTAAAAGATCATATCCATAGTTTGAGATTGCTTGAGTGAATGATCAGCAGTTACCTAGTGAGTGATTTGTTCTTACAGTTGAAATCTTGAAAGAATAGTTCTTTCAGGGTAATGGATCAGATTTGGTGACAAAAGACTGGGAAAGTGATGCAAAATCATTTGATGCCACAGTAAAGTAGCACTTGGAGAGGGCCAGTGTGTCACTTAGTGCCCACAAGATTAGTATTCACCTCGAGTTTCCAGGACCCAGGATCTAGGCAGTTGTGGAGATGCTAACTCACCTTGGAGAGACTGGGGTGGGGGTTTGGAGGAAAATAAAACTACTTGCTTTATATTTCAAACATTGATGGGCATTTTCTACTCAAGAATTGAATAGAATAATATGCTAGACTAATTACTTCTTATGGTACATTAATTCTTTTAGGCAACTAGTAAGCACAAAAGGTTTACTACTTCATAAGATTATTTAATATATCTTAAAGCTCTCCTGTATATACCCCCTCCCACCTGAATTACCCATCTTAAGCCCTCTTATCCTCTCACCTGATCATTCTGAAGTTGTCTCAAAACTAGCATTCTTACCTAGTTTCTCAATAGTCTCCATTTCATCATCCATACTTTTGCCTGAGTGATCTTTGTCAGGAAGCTTCTTCATTTATCACTCTCCTACTTAAAACTCCTTTTCAGTGTCAGGATAACGTCAGATTTCCTAGCACTGTGCATAACCACCTCTTTGTGCCAAACACTTGATTTGGACTCCTGTCTGCACAGTCTCATCTCTCAACGAACCACTGCACTGATTGTATGAGTTATTTGCAGTTCTTGCATATGCCCCACTACTTCACATTACTACTTCACCCTATTCCTGGAATGTCTTCCCTATTCTGGTTCATGTGAAGAACATCTATCAGCTTTCAACATGCGGCTTAAGCATCAATTCTTTTATAAAGTATTTCCTAACCCTCCCCCATAGATAACTGATCTCTTCCTTCCTTATCCTTCCCCTCTCCTACAAGTTATCACATACATGAACAATGTTCTCTCACATTCATAACACATTTTTCCTTAGTTTTGTATATAGTTGCCTCTCTAAAATATAAACTTCAAGAGCATCGAGGGCATCTTATTTCTGTATTCTAATGTACAACAGCACTCAATAAAAGTTCATTAAATAATGAATATAACATTTAAAATGAATAATTTATTCCTAAGATTCTTAGCATCTTTTCTGAGTTTCAGACGAACACTTGTAAAATTCCATTGGACATCTCCATACATGTTGGGTAAGTACTTCAAGTTCAAAATGTTCACACCAAAACTTATTATTCCCCCCTCCCCAAAGTTACTTGTTTATTTGAGTTTCCTGTTTCATTAATGGCATAATTTACCCTCTGACTCAAATAAAAAATTCACCTTCCTACCTTTAGTCTACCTTTTCTTCAATTCACCCTTCACTCTCATCATTTATCTTGATAAAAATAACTTTTCTGATACTGCCACTTCCCTACTTAAATAATACACTTTATGGCTTATTCTGTTAGGAGGATAAATTCAAAACAATTTGGCAATAATGCTCACAATCTGGCAACACCTACCTTTCTAGCCTCATCTCTTGCAAGTTTCTCCCATGGAACTTAACCTTAAGTTCTAAAGAAATGTATAAAGAAATGTAGGTAGGTGGGCAATAGCAAGCCATTCGTAATAGAAATATAAATATTTCTAGCTGCCAGAAGCAAGGAAAAAAGTAAATTCCTATTGTTTTGTCACATCTAAAGGTGCTGCAGGGTAATGGTATGAATCTATTTATGGAACACAAACACACATACAACACCCATACATATCAGGAGAATAGGCGAAATGGTGGGTATGAAGAGCAATGGCTACTACAATGAATCTGGGGAACAAGCACAATCTATACAGGCATTTTTTTTTTTTTTTGACGGAGTCTCACTTTGGCACTCAGGCTCAAGTGCACTGGGGTAATCTGGGTTCACTGCAGCATCTGCCTCCTGGGTTCAAGTGATTTTCCTGCCCCAGCCTCCTGAGCAGGTGGGATTACAGGTGCTCACCACCACAACTGGCTAATTTTTGTATTTTTAGTAGAGATGGGGTTTCACCATGTTGGTCAGGCTGTTCTCAAACTCCTGACCTCAGGTGATCTGCCCACTTTGCACTACCAAAGTGCTGGGATTACAGGTGTGAGCCACTGTGCCCGGCCTTATACAGGTATTTTTGTTTTGGGAAGTGCTTAGCACCTAACAAGTACTAAGAAAAAAAAAAATTTTTTTTTTTTTTTTTTGAGACAGAGTCTCATTCTGTCACCCAGGCTGGAGTGCAGTGGTGCAATTCGGCTCAATGCAACCTTCACCTTCCAGGCTCAAGTGATCCCCCTGCCTCAGCCTCCCTAGGTGCATACCATCATGCTGGACTAATCTGTGTATTTTTAGTAGAAATAGGGTTTCACCATGTTGGCCAGGATGGTCTTGAATTCCTGACCTCAAGTGAGCCACCTGCCTTGGCTTCCCAAAGTGCTGGGATTACAGGTGTGAAACATTGTGCCTGGCTTAAAAAAATCTGTTGACTGAATGGTGCATGAACAGGACAAGAATGTTTAATCAGGCTTCACTAGAAAATATTCTAAGATAATCCACTTCTCTTTGCTGTTGATAATGGACATAAGCCTTCTCAACAAGTGAAAGGGGTCACCCTCATTATCAACTAATAACTGGGCATTCTGGTTTATATGGTAATCTCTTCTCCGAGGGTCATAATAACCCTGAGTCAGTGGACAAAGTGAACTTTGTAGATCTAAAATGCTGAGGACCAGTCCTCAGGCAGTGGTAAGTTCTCTGATATAATACAAGCCTGTAAAGTATCATGGCTGCTGGGCAGTCCCTCTCAATGCTAGTTCAGTTGCTGACAGGAACTACCTACCACAAGGCAGAGGCTCTAAAATCCAGTTCATAGCTCACTGCCTTCAAGGTGATTCTTTGACACCCTTTCTCCTCTGAACCTGAGTTTGTTGTTCTTGTTTCTGGACTCTCATCTTTACTCAACTATATCAGTTATCATATGATACTGTAATGTCTGACTGCTTCCCTCTAGCCTCTACATGCCCTGAAGTCTGGCATTATCTTTATTATGTGCTTTACTAATACGTGTAGACTTACTGAGTGAATTCTTGATCCTGACTTGCAACATCTCAAGCTAACACCATTATCTAAATCTTTTTTTTTTTTAAAAAGACCAGAACTAAATTAATTTTTGTTTATATTTTTTGAGAGAAAACAGTTGTTATAAAACATTTTAGAAGATGGGAAATTATTGCAAAGCAGACAGATTTATCTGTTAAATGTGGGAACTGCTATTAGGAAGGGTTTAAGAAGTAGTCCCCTCAGAAGATTCAAACCCATTCTGTTTACAAGGTGCATGCCCTGTGTCATTCAACCCAATCTAAGCATTAGTTTCCTCTGTAAAACAGGATTACCAACATCAACCTCATATCATTTCTGTGATGATTAACAGAGATAATGTATTTATAGAAGTCTCAGTGACAACATTTATCTATAAGGTATTTAACATCAGTAAATCTATAGAACCACACAAGAGCAAAAAATTAACTTGCTGTATCCTTCATTGGAAGCTTTCAGGGATATGGGAAACTCACTCAAACTACAGATCATATACTACATCCCACACAATACAGAGTAACTGGTTGGCTCACCCTAGTATAAAAGAAAAGGGCTGTAGGAGGACGCTTAGCTGTGACCCCTATTTACCCCGTTTGTCTTTGACTGGAAAGTAAGTCTGTTAGAAACATGGAACTTCTCCATGATTCCTCCTTGCCAAAACTCTATTACTTCCAAAAGGACGTTAGTCAAAGGGGTGAAGGTAAATAAGAGAGCTCTTGCATTAACAAATTTGGAAACCTCTTAAATGAAGACTAAAAAAGATATGACCACATTTTCTTTTGAATGCTGTAAGGAAATATGTAGCAAAGCTATCTAAAATTCCTCTTACGTTCTTCTGGTTTCATTTCGGTTATTTTTTGCAGCCAATTCTTCCATGTTTGGCAGTCACAAGGCTCATGTGCTTCACCAAGGCACTCCCTAAAGAAAAAAAGAACATAGAAAAGACAATTTTAAAATATTCTTCATCAACATCAAGGTAAAAAAATATATATATATGTAGAGGCTGGGTGTGGTGGCTGACGCCTGTAATTCCAGCACTGTGGGAGGCCGAGGCGGGTAGATCACCTGAGGTCAGGAGTTTGAGACCAGCCTGGCCAAGATGGTGAAACCTGCCTCTACTAAAAATACAAAAAATTAGTTGGGTGTGGTGGCACATGCCTGTAATCCCAGCTACTCAGGAGGCTGAGGCAGGAGAATTGCTTGAACCTGGGAGGTGGAGGTTGCAGTAAGCTAAGATCGCACCATTGCACTCCAGACTGGGCAACAAGAGCAAAACTGTAACTCAAAAAAAAAAAAAAAAAATGTAGAAAGTGTTCTTCCAATTTTAAAGTTGAAAAAACTAAGGCACAGTGACTAATGAGAGATGGAGCATTTCAACAGACGAACTGAAAATGAGATTCCAAAACTTAATACCATTAGGCCAGTTTTGTTTTTTTTTTTCCTTTTTTTATACTGAGCTAGAGTAGATGGCATAAAATCTATCCTCAAGGAAAAGTTACTGTTCTTAGACACAGGGAGCCATCCCGACCTGTCACCCTTCTTGACTCTCTCTAGTGCCGAAAGTACTTACTACTGAACCCTGTTTTCTCTGAGCAGTTTAATACGGTTTCTCCACTATTAATCTAAATTTGGGCTCGTTTTATATATTTTTCAAAAGGCATTGACTTTTCTTTTTTAAGGAAAAAAAGAAAGAAAAAGAAAGAAAGAGAGAAAGAAA